GTTTGGGATCTGAGAGTTCTAAGTGGTCTGTAAGGCTGCAGTAGCTCACACAGGTAATCAGGTGCGTCACTAGCAATGCATTTGTACGCAAGGCACAGGACTTTGTAGGAAATACGTTCTTTCACAGGAAGCCAATGAAGACTTTGGAGAATGGGAGTTATATGGTCATATTTTCGCGTGAGAGTCACAATTCTTGCGGCAGTATTTTGCATTTTCTGGAGCTTATTTATTGATGTCTGAGGAGCCCCCCAGAGTAGGCTATTGCAGTAGTCTACCTTGGAAATGACTAATGACAGAACAAGAATGATTGCCAATTGTTTGTTGAGATACTTCCTTATATTTCCAATGTTTCTAAGCTGGAGAAAGCAGTTCCTGTTTAAGTTGTTGAAATGGTTCTCCAAGGATAACTCAGAATCAAGATGGACACCTAGATCTTTGACTACCTCTGCTACCTTAATGAGACAACTCCCAATAGGTATAGAAGTAATATCAACTTTGGACCGCCTCAGCTTGGGTCCAACTATGAGGCACTCCGTTTGGTCATCGTTGAGTTTGAGTTTGTTTCTCAACATCCAGGACTTAATGTCCTGAGAACAGAGGGATGTTTGTTCCAGAGCTTCAGCAGCATCTGCCGGATTAGGGAGGAAAGGTTTCAGAAGTTGTGAGTCGTCAGCATAGTGGTGACGTCCCATCCGGTGTCTGTCGATGAGATTACCAAGCTGTCTTGTATACAGCGTAAAAAGGTTCGGCCCAAGGACGGACCCTTGTGGCACACCACATGTAAGTAGGACAGGATCTAATAGACAGCCATCCATCCACAAGCACTGACTGATACCTATCATTGAGGTAGGACTTAAACCAACTCAATGCCACTCCCTGGATTCCAATCTCCACGTTAAGACGGGAAATCATTATGCTATGGTCTATCGTGTCGAACGCTGCACTAAGGTCCAACAAGACGAGTAATGCTAGATTCCCCCTCATCAACTTCAAGTCTGAGATCATTCAACACCCTGGGGAGTGCAGTTTCAGTGCTGTGATGTTGGCGATACGCAGATTGAAAGGGGTCATCTAAGTGGTGAGTTTTCAAATGTTCGGAGAGTCTGAGACACACTGCTCTTTCAATCAACTTGGATAGAAAAAGCAGATTGGACACTGGTCTGAAACTCTTAAGTTCTTCACTGTCTAAGAAGGATTTCAACATAGGTTTGACAATGGCTTGTTTGAAAAGGTGATGGCATTGTTCTTGACCTGACACTGCAATTCACTATGTTCACAATGACAGGCAGAACAATGTCCAAATTGCCGAGAATGAGCCCGGTGGGGATGGGATCCAGAAGACATGAAGTGGGCTTGGGCTTCTGAATCAGTTTCAGTATCTCCTCGTTAGAAAATTCCCTGAGCTCACGAAGACTATCAAGGTGGAGGGGAAATGTGTCTTCAACCTCAGGAGCTTGGGCCGTGTTGAAATGTTTTCGGACTGAACTGATTTCGTTCTCAAAGAGAACCTTGCGCCGGCCACACTTCTTCAAAAATGTTTATAGAATGTCAAAATATAATACAGTTTCTTTTATGCCAGGTGTAACTGAAATATTGCCAAAAGAAATGGTCCCTTCAATTTCACATGCAAGTGGGTGAGTATTGTTTTACGTCGCTTTTAGTAATATTCCAGCAATATCACGGCAAGTTTTAGCAGTTCGACCACTTTAGCAGCCAGACCGTCGTGTAAAAGGTCCATCACTTGAAGGTGTAAGAAAACAAGGCTGGTGGTCAATCATCTGAACATGTGTACAATTGTCATATCAATGTTCAAATGAAATGTTCTGAGGGGCCAGCATCTGATCTGGGTACCAAACCTGCGGGGGTGGGTTAGCCTGGTGCTTAAAGCGTTCGATCGTCACGCCGACGACCCCGGTTCGATTCCCCACATGGGTACAATGTGTGACGCTTATTTCTGGTGTCTCCCGTCGTAATATTGCTGGAATATTACTCACAGCGGCATAAAACCTTATTCAATCACTATAAAATCCTTCATAGCGATGCGCCTGCATGCCAGTAGATAGATATAGTGACCCCTCAAAGATACTGCTGAAATATTGCTAAAAGCGGCGCAAAACTAAACCCATTCACCAAACTTGCGGCAGCTAAACCATGTAGACTGGACTGATCCAGAACTGACCCCGGAAACGTCAGCGCCGGTCCGTCATAAACATATGGTGGACAGAACCAACCTGAGTTGCAGATTTGGCTTGTAAAGACGACCAATTTAAGAATCACATTTTGCGAAACTTGAACTGGAAAGTTCATCCCCAAACATGCTCCTCATATTTTCATGTAATAAGGTAGACTAAGTCAAACATCACGTAGCACATGCACCAACATAAATATATCCTGCATACCACACGCCTATATTGAACCAATAATATCCCTCTTGTCTGGCATTCAGGCCATGACACAAATGTATCCAGGCAAGCCCACGCGAGTCTAGAATATGTGGCAAGTCTAGATTTCCACAGTTTCGGGAAATGAAGAAAGTCTCTGGACTCCGTTTCATTATAGTCTATGGTTATAATTTTGGAACTGTTTTTTTCTGTAAAATATGTTAATTTCAGAGATAGATGTTAGTCTAATATACCACGTGTACCGACAAAAACGTGCCACATACCACATGCATCTTATATCTGTGAGACCCCCTCTGTGGTGTAGTGGTTAGAGCATTCGCCAGGAGAGCGGAAGGTCGCGGGTTCGATCCCCGGCCGCGTCATACCAAAAGACGTTAAAATATGGTACTTGTTGGTCCCTGCCTGGCGCTCGGCATTAATGGGTACAACAAGGACTGGTCGGCTCGGAGTCAGTATAATGTGTCTGAGTGGGGTATTCATGCTTCACTGCGGTATGGTGTCTCAGTGGGCTAGCACTATAAAACCAACTTAAGTCTGGTCTAGTACAAGCAGCCGCACATACACACGCATGAACGTCGTGATAGGAGCGAAATATTCTTAAAGGTCACATGCAACGTAAAACACAACTTTGCAGATTCTGATACCTTTCGGTATGGACTTACCGAAACAAATCGTCAAAAATGCAAATTCAACTTATAAAGTTGAAAAATAACGCGATGAAAAAAACCGCGCGAAATCGGAGTTCAAACGTTTCACTAAATTTCCCCAGACTTTTCTGGGGAAAACGGGTTTCAACAGCTGGGCTGCGTTCATAGCATGTGCGCAGTGAATAGGTTCGCGCAGCTTGGAAGCGGGTTGTCCAGTGATTACTTGGTGAAGGCTTTGATGTGAGCTATTTTTTCTAATGTTTTGTTGATATCTCACAGGCGCGAGCTTTTTATATGTTATGACAGTAAATTAACTGTTTATATAATTTCATTTGTCTATTTCACCACACGTTCTTCTTACCGAGTCACTTTCTTAGTTCGATACTTAAAAGCAATGTCATTATTTAGCGTTGACAGAATTTCTAACTGTGATATAGATATGTCGTTGTCACAGACAAAACTCAATGTCTTGTTTTATTGACACATGTGTGTCTGCCTGCCTGTCTGCTAATGACAATATTTAATACACAGCTGCTATCACTGACCACATGCAATCAGGCTATACACCATAAACAAAATGCATTGATTTATGGCCCGAGTTCGGTCTCTTTCACATTATGTAATTACACAGACAGGCAGGTGTGATAGTTGAACACTTGACATGTTATGATGTCTGTTGATTGCAAAATGTTATACACAAAAAATGAGCATGTATTTACAAAACCCAACATCTCTACATGTACACACACAATAAGCCGTGAGGGCATACGCAAATGAACCAGTCGTTACACTTGAGTGCACACCCACCCGCTCTGACTGGGTTCGGTATCCCGGCTGCTTCGTTTCGTGGGAAGTAAACCCGAGTACACAATATTGCACTTTTGATTTGCGATTGTACGCTTATAATTTTGTTTATATGTTTTTTCATAACCAGCAATGTATATTATATGTCACGAATAAGTGATAATTGTGTTTTAATTATGTTTGATTTTTTGGTTGCATGTGACCTTTAAGTACGACGTAAACCCCATTTTACCTCACCTCTTACGTCGGTGAAGGTCGAGTGCTCACAACAGCTGGTTTGTCTCATTCAATTGCTTACAGCGATAAATAAGAAATAAAACACTGCTCCACATCTCATGCCACATCATTTTTAAGCATGCGTGCATCAGCGGCCATTCTCTACGTTTCCTAAGAATAATGGGAATTTCATTAATCATTTTTTATTTAAATGCTATTATCGGCAAATGGTTAACTAAGTATGTGTCGATATTTCCTTTTCATCTAACGCTCTGTTGGACATAAATTGCTTTAGATAATGAATAGATCTGCTGTACATCTAAATGGAAAGTTTAATTAATAAAACTTGTCTCTGTGTTTTTCCGGGGTTAAAAGTGTTGCCAATAAGCAGGCCATAGATCGATTTGATTTTTTGCTTGTTCCTTGGAGCTGCAGTCGGAACTATTTAGTTTCAATGACAGCGACATGTAAACAACAGCCAAGATAAACGCGGTCGGGTAACAGTCACACCCAATCCACAAAGTCACCACGACTGACCACCCGATACATTATACTGCCTCTGACATATTTTGTCCCAGATCTCACAGACATACGACTGTATTACACATTTAAAACACAACATATACATGTATCTTGGTCATCCATCGATCCGATGATGACTGTCCTCATGTGTTAAGTCCTTTTCTTGTGTGGGCGCGGAGATGGCAGTTTAGGACGATCCCTGATGGGCAGACACGGGTGCAGTGGGGGCATGGAAACTGTCCTGGGTGGTCAGGGTTAGCGATTGACGCCTTTCTTCGTGTACGTGCTTCAGCTACATCAGCTCGCCTCTTATCCTCACAGTTGTCTCGCGCCTGGGTAATGAGGGCGCGCCAGCCTTGTCTGTCCATAGCACACAGCTCTAACTGTTTGGGAGGGATGCCAGAGTGTCTTATGTTGGACTTAATACAGTCTTTGAATCTCTTGTGTTGTCTGCTCCTATTCCCATAGCCCCAGAGTGCTTGGGCAGCCAATGGTCATCCATCCGGATCACGTGACCAACCCAACGGAGCTGGGCTTTCAGGATCATGGCCTCGATGCTGATCATTTGGCTCTGTCCTGGACCCCAATGTTTGTGACCCGGTCTTGCCAATGAATGTTCATGATCGACCTCAGGCTTTTCATGTGGAACTTCTCCAACTGCTTCGAGTGTCTTTTGTATATGGTCCACGTCTCCACATGCGTAGAGGAGGCTAGTGAGAACGACAGCCTTGTACACCTTGAGCTTCGTGGACAGCTGGACGTTGTGTTGGTTCAGGACGCGAGGTCGGAGACGACCGATAGCTTGACTGGCTTTGCAGATCCTGGCGTTTATCTCCTTATCCAGGCTGCCACCGTTGCTGATAGTGGTGCCGAGGTACCTAAAGTCGTTTACCGTCTTCAGCTGCGTGCCCTCGATGGAGATGGCGGGGGCAGGGGCGGTGGAGGCTCGCGAGGGTTGGAACAGTACTTCTGTCTTGCCCAGGCTGATGGTGAGACCAAAGAGGCGGGATGCTTCTGCGAACTTACTCACGATGAGCTGGAGGTCAGACTCCTTGTGGGCCATGAAGGTACAGTCATCAGCGAAAAGCGCTTCCAGGACAATCTTCTCCACGACCTTGGTCTTGGCATCCAGTCGTCGAACAGAGAGCCGTCGAGTCTGTATCGCAGATATACCCCAAGGTCCCAGTCCCTGGTGGCATGGCTGAGGACGCAGGTAAAAAAGAGGTTAAAGAGGATCGGGGGGTGCCGTTCCACTAACCGATCTTAGCCCTACGCCAATCATAAACCCCTTAAATCCCAATCTTAGCGTGACGTTACGATCGGCTTACCGTTCCACTAACCAATCTTACCCAGGTCAATCGTAAAGTTAAGATCCAAAGTCTAAGTTGCTCATGACCAACTTAGGATCGCTGAAATCAATCGTAGAGAAACCAAAATGGTGGCTTTCATATTCTATGTGAAGAAGAAGAGCGAGCACTTCACCGTGAGAGTCCCATAAACCCCCCACGAAATGAATGTGTTTATTTCTGTGATGTAAACAAACACAGCACTGAAGCCTTACACATGTGAGGCCAGTCTGACCACTGTCGTCATAGGAACACAGCCGAGGAAGTCGGTTTAATACATTTGTACAACAATATTGCAACGTCATGGTTAAGCATACGGACGGGTCATGAAGTGAACAATGTTCTGAAACAAAAAGATACAAATATGTTTGATTATGTGCGCTAATTTGTGGGGGGTTTCAAGACCACTTACAGATTCTAGATACTTTATAAATAGAGGATGCCTCGCCACGCCTTGTTTATTCTGATCGACAAGGTTCAGCCACATTATGCCTGATACCCAGCGTTCACACGCACTTGCACCTGAAACCAAGGTGCTCACTACCCTAATATTTTTTCTCGAGGTTTTTCTCTCCACGTTTTGACTTTGTTCCAAAACTACTTCCTTCGTCTGCTAGACTATGCAAAAGGAGATTACTCGTGCCTCGCATTTCTCTGTCTCTCGCACGAAAGAGTCTCGATCTAAGCTTAGATCGGATCGTAAGATCGGCACCGGCTACGAATGGCCTAAGATCGGTTAGTGGAAGGGGTGTAAATTTTAGCTAAGACGATTGTAAACTTGGCATAGCTTGCTAAGATTGATCTTAGGTAAGATCGGTTAGTGGAAGAGCACCCAGGTCGATAAAGACCGCATACAAGTCCATGTTTTGCTCTAGACATTTCTCCTGGTTCGGGCGGAATCCACACTGTGTTTCTGGCAGGTTCTCTTCGGAGATGTTCACGGTCAGTCGGTTGAGGAGGACCCGGGCCAGTACTTTCCCAGCAATAGAGAGGAGGGACCCTACAATTCAGTCTTGCTGCCCTTATTCTTGCACAGGGAGACGACAGTGTCTTACCCTGAAGTCTTTTGGCAGTTCTTCGTCCTCCCAGATGCTAGTGAGGAGGAATCTGCTTAATCGCCTTCGAGATTTCGTCCATTGGAGGGGGAGGTCGAGGCAGTGGACAGTGGTTCTTTGTGGGATCAGGTCAAGGGCATAGGGGTCTACAGTGGAGGGCCTATTGAGTAGGTTGCGGAAGTGCTCTCTCCATCGCACATTGATGCTGCTCTTCTTCAACAGTGTCGAGCCGTCTACCGACAGGAGTGGGGTAGTACATGGCTTGGAAGGTCCATAGACTTCCTTGATGGCACTGTATTAGACATTTAAAACACAACATATATATATATATATATATATATATGCTGTTAAATAGGGGTCGGAAGGGTGAGCTTATGGTTAAAGCGCTCGCTCGTGACGCTGATTACCCGGGTTCGATTCTCCACATGGGTACAATATGTGACGCTCATATATGGTGTTCGGACCGTGTTCCTCCTCGTGATATTGCTGGAACATTGCATAACGCGGCGTAAACCCATACTCACTCACACCTGTTTAATATAATTTACACCAATTCAACTTTAAAGACGACAAACAGCGTCTGTGTGATACCTGCTTCACGGTAGTCGCTGTGAGTGAGTGAGTGAGTGAGTGAGTATTGCTCAACTCCGCATCAATAATCAAACAGTTATTGTTTGCTTCTCTGTTGTTTAAACGCCGCACTCAGGAATATTCCAGCTATATGGCGGCAGTCTATAAATAATCGAGTCTGGACCAGACAATCCAGTAATCAACATCATGAGCATCAATCTACGCATTTGGAATGACACGGGTCAACAAGTCAGCGAGCCTACCACCCGATCCCGTGAGTCGCCTCTTACGACAAGCATGGGTTGCTGAAGACCAGTTACAGAAAAAAATATAGACGACTTGGGGACTCATTTTATCATTTTATTTCTTTGTAATCAGGTTCATTGCGATGTTTGTGAATTAAAAACATTTTCCGAGTTGTTTTTTGATATTTTTTTAGTTGTATCATTAACCCGGTAATAGAAGGTGCGACATTAAACATTGGTCCCACACATACTCAACAAGTGAGGCAGAGAACCAGGTTTTCGGCGAGACGAGTAAACGTTGGACTTTTGATCTTATATCTATTCTTACTTTAGGCATGTGTATTCGCAGTCACACTGGCTGTGAGAGGGCAACATTCACCTCTTCATCCGTTGTGTAGTCTGTGTGTGGGGTGTGGGGAGTAGCTTAGTGGTTAAAGCATTTGCTTTCGCGTTCGCCGAATACACGGGTTCGATTCCCCGCATGGGTACGATGTGTGAAGAACATTTCCGGTATATTGCTAAAGGCGGCGTGAAACAAAACTCACTCGCACGATGTGTGCATGCGTGACTTCGGAAGATGCAGCATTGTCATCTCAAACAAAAGTGTATTTACAGCATCGGAGATACAGACAGACAGACTTTATTCGTATATAATAATAATATATGCATATTTATAATGCGCCCTTTCCACACCCTAAGGCATGCTCAAAGCGCTACAGAATCCTTCCGACATATCCGGCATACAACACAAAACAGGACTGGACCAAGGACTGATCGCTGTGGCACCCCACATGTGATTACAGCGCATTTTGATCTCTCAGTGCCAACGACAACAGATTGCTGTCGGTCAGATAGATAAGACGTCACCCATTGAAGGGCGTGACCTTCAAGTCCGTACTGTTGTTTGAGCCTGGACAAGAGTCTATTACGATCGATTGTGTCGAAGGCTGCAGAGTGGCTGTATGAGGCCATGAGACTGAGAGTACATCGCAATACAGACTGTTTAGTGGCGTGAGAGACTTATGGTGATAAATTCCATGAAATCGTTTGCAAGGATTCCTAGGAATATAAATATATATGGATGAATTAATATACACATTGAATAACAATGAATAGTTAGTGATGTACAAACTTCTGGAGTAGCAATTTAGACTTGGTGCATAGACCTGAGAGTAGACAAAAACTGTGTAATAATGTAAGGTATACAGAGTCGCACGGGAGGGATTAAACTTAGGTCTCTTAGTCTTAAATACCTTTGCTATAAAAATTGATCAACACAAGGTAATTTTTTCATTTTTGTTGGCTAGTAGTCCTACAAACGTATCGAAAGATGGGCGATTTGCCGCCAGTATTGAGGACTAATATCTTCGTTTTATCGGTATGAATAGTTAATCCCCATTTCTTTTACAATATTCGGTATAAAAAGTCAGTGTTCTTCTGTAGTGTTGAGACACTCTAACCAAATATCGCTACGTCATCCGCGAATAACAATATAGACAAGGTGTGAATAGCTTCATCTATGAATATACCTGTTATGTCATTAGAGATCATATCTTTCACAAGCTCATCTATATACATTATGAATAGTACTGGCGAAAGTTTGCAGCCCTGTTTTACCCCAGAAGAAGTAGAAACCACATTCCTCGTGCAAAAAATAGCGAAAAGTAATGATCGTTTGCTAAACAACTTTTTTATTCGGGTGTCAAAAATTATGAGACAAATCATCAGTGTTGATCTGTCGATTTCATGTGACTGCAAAATTTGGTTTTGTTACAATTATTGGATTTTGTGTTAGCGAGAAATTTATCGGTCTCAGATGAAATGAAACGGACTGTAGCTATCGAGCCATAATGGAACTCATGACATTTAATGTGTAACTCAGTATTCGATACTTTAATTTTTTTTAATGATTCACATAATTTATATCAATATATAAATTCTCTTAACAAAACCTGACACTAGCCTTTCTGGAACTTATGTTTACTGTTTCTCGGCGGGTAAATATATAGGTTTGACACGCATCAATTTACGCATGTTTACAATGAAAACCTTGTTTTTCCCTTACGATGTCTTGATGGGTTATAAGGAGTTCTGTCATAAAAATATGTTTCTGCGAAATATCGTGTTTATTTGGTACTTGAAAGTGAAATGCCCAACGTTCAATGTAGCGCTTAGATGCCTGTCAATTTATCTGCACAGACGTACAATTGGGATCAATTCTACCATGACAAAATCAAGCAATAGGTCGGTACGGTATAAGTGTTTTGCGTTGGATTTCTAGCTTAAATAAAGAAACCAACTTAAATGAGAAATTTTCTTTAAAGGTGTTTTAATAGATTTTAACCCTTCCAAATACATCATCTTCATCTACTGCTGTAGTATGACTAGCTTTCATTTATTGACATGAAACATGCAATGTTGTAGCACGACTAGTTCTCATTTAGTGAAACAGAACACGTTCTTTTATAGCACGGTTGTTTCTCATTACTCTTGTGGCAGTTTTGATTTATTGTTGTGGTGTACATAGTACCGCAGCAGAACTTTATCTCAGTTATATTGTATTGGAACACGTACTGCTGTAGTACGAGTAGTTCTGTTTTACTGAATTGGAAGACGTACTGATGTAGTACGACTAGTTCTGTTTTATTGAAGTGGGAGACATGCTGCTGTAGTACCACTAGTTCTGTGAAGTGGGAGACATACTGCTGTAGTACGACTATTTCTGTTTTGCTGAAGTGGGAGATATACTTGCTGTACCTCGACTATTTCTGTTTTACTGAAGTGGGAGACATGCTGCTAGAATATACCACGACTAGTTCTGTTTTACTGAAGTGGGAGACATACTGCTGTACCTCGACTATTTCTGTTTTACTGAAGTGGGGGACATACTGCTGTACCTCGACTATTTCTGTTTTACTGAAGTGGGGGACATACTGCTGTACCTCGACTATTTCTGTTTTACTGAAGTGGGGGACATACTGCTGTACCTCGACTATTTCTGTTTTACTGAAGTGGGAGACATACTGCTAGAATATACCACGACTAGTTCTGTTTTACTGAAGTGGGAGACATGCTGCTAGAATATACCACGACTAGTTCTGTTTTATTGAAGTGGGAGACATGCTGCTATAATATACCACGACTAGTTCTGTTTTACTGAAGTGGGAGACATGCTGCGCAGCCAGAATATACCACGACTAGTTCTGTTTTACTGAAGTGGGAGACATGCTGTTTTACTGAAGTGGAATATACCACGACTAGTTCTGTTTTACTGAAGTGGGAGACATACTGCTATAATATACCACGACTAGTTCTGTTTTACTGAAGTGGGAGACATGCTGCTATAATATACCACGACTAGTTCTGTTTTACTGAAGTGGGAGACATGCTGCTATAATATACCACGACTAGTTCTGTTTTACTGAAGTGGGAGACATGCTGCTATAATATACCACGACTAGTTCTGTTTTACTGAAGTGGGAGACATGCTGCTATAATATACCACGACTAGTTCTGTTTTACTGAAGTGGGAGACATGCTGCTATAATATACCACGACTAGTTCTGTTTTACTGAAGTGGGAGACATACTGCTATAATATACCACGACTAGTTCTGTTTTACTGAAGTGGGAGACATGCTGCTATAATATACCACGACTAGTTCTGTTTTACTGAAGTGGGAGACATACTGCTATAATATACCACGACTAGTTCTGTTTTACTGAAGTGGGAGACATACTGCTATAATATACCACGACTAGTTCTGTTTTACTGAAGTGGGAGACATGCTGCTATAATATACCACGACTAGTTCTGTTTTACTGAAGTGGGAGACATGCTGCTATAATATACCACGACTAGTTCTGTTTTACTGAAGTGGGAGACATGCTGCTATAATATACCACGACTAGTTCTGTTTTACTGAAGTGGGAGACATGCTGCTATAATATACCACGACTAGTTCTGTTTTACTGAAGTGGGAGACATACTGCTGTTCCTCGACTATTTCTAATTTGCTGAAGTGGGAGACATACTACTGTAGCACGACTATTTCTGTTTTACTGAAGTTTGGGACATACTGCTGTATCTCGACTATTTCTGTTTTACTGAAGTGGGAGACATACTGCTGTACCTCGACTATTTCTGTTTTACTGAAGTGGGGGACATACTGCTGTACCTCGACTATTTCTGTTTTACTGAAGTGGGAGACATACTGCTGTACCTCGACTATTTCTATTTTGCTGACGTGGGATACATACTGCTGTAGCGCGACTATTTCTGTTTTACTGAAGTGGGAGACATGCTGCTATAATATAGCATGACTAGTTCTGGTTTACTGAAGTGGGAGACGTACTGCTATAGCACGACTAGTTCTGTTTTACTGAAGTGGAACACGTACTGCTGTGGAGTCACTTCAGCACCAAATAATCCGGAAACCGCACGGCCTCCGCACATCTATAACTCCTCGGAGAGAGGAGAATTTGTATGGAAATGCGTTTCCGGTGAGCAGTTTCCTCAGGCGTAGTGTATTTCAGCCGATCTGGCGTCTACATACTGCTCAAAGCCAAGCTTATCAATCTGTGGTAGAACGGTGCCGTAAACAAGAGTTCCCAATTCCTGGCCGTCAATATGAACCTGTAACAAAGACACATCGCAACGCATTAGGATTAATCATAACGTCAGAATGTACAGGTGACCCTTTGAGTCAGCAATCATGTTTTCATTTTTCAGTAAACTCTTAAACGCCACTATGACCAAGTAAGTAGTCACCATGACACTGTACGGAGATACAATGACATAGCAAGAAGTCAATACAACGCTATGGCGTCACTATGTCACTGTAGGGCGTCAATATGGTGCTATGGCATCACAATGATACTAAAGGGCGTCAATATGGCGCTATGGCGTCACCATGACACTGTAGGGCGTCAATATGGCGCTATGGCGTCACCATGACACTGTAGGGCGTCAATATGGCGCTATGGCGTTACCATGACACTGTAGGGCGTCAATATCGCGCTATGGGATCACCATGACACTGTAGGGCGTCAATATGGCGCTATGGCATCACCATGACACTGTAGCGCGTCAATATCGCGCTATGGCATCACCATGACACTGTAGGGCGTCAATATGGCACTATGGCATCACCATGACACTGTAGGGCGTCAATATGGCACTATGGCATCACCATGACACTGTAGGGCGTCAATATGGCACTATGGGATCACCATGACACTGTAGGGCGTCATTATGGCACTATGGCATCACCATGACACTGTAGGGCGTCAATATGGCACTATGGCATCACCATGACACTGTAGGGCGTCAATATGGCGCTATGGCATCACCATGACACTGTAAGGCGTCAATATGGCACTATGGCATCACCATGACATTGCAGGGCGTCAATATGGCACTATGGCATCACCATGACACTGTAGCGCGTCACTATTGCGCTATGGGATCACCATGACACTGTAGGGCGTCAATATGGCACTATGGCATCACCATGACACTGCAGGGCGCCAATATGGCACTATGGCATCACCATGACACTGTAGGGCGTCAATATGGCGCTATGGCATCACCATGACACTGAAGGATGTCAAGTTGACACTATGTCGTCACCATAACACTAAATGACGTCAGCATGACGCTGTGTCGTCACGATCATACTGATTCATGAAGGACGTCACCATGACACTGCACGACGTCAGTGTAACACTATGCCGTCACCGTGATGCTATAGGACGTCAATATGCCACTGTAGGACGTCATCAGGACATGTCATCAGGGTGGCACAACGTCACTGCTGCACGCGATTAGGTCATAGCATGACATCACTGTGAAGCTGTTGGTCGACTTTTGGAGACGCCACAATCACACTGTAAGGCGGACACTCAAGAATAATAGGACGTAAATATGACGACCCTTTCACGTACGCAGCTTTATGACGTCACTATTGCTCTTTGCTACGTCACTGAGAGATCACTTTCTCATCTTAGGTCGTCAGTGAACGATTATAGCGTACCGCATCTTACGGGCACATCTTTACCTTACACTCAGACACGGAAAGAATAGCATTGTTGACACAAAATTTCCACGTATGAAACCAAATCGCGAAGACAAAGCCTTTGACTACACACTTGCTCGGACCAAGTGATTCGATCCCCGGATGCGCTCTACCAGAATACGTTAAAAGGTTATACTTTTGTTATAAAGCCTGGTGTACGGAAGTACTGGGTTAAGCCAGGCACTGCTCGGATCGCAGGGGTCCGTTTCACAAAGCGATCGAAAGCTACGGCTGTTATATTTTACTTTTAAATGATTCTGAAGTGCTATGCTTTTCAGCAATGTCAGCGCTAACTTCACTTACCCGAAACAAAGTGTCTTCCACAACGGCGACAATGCGAAACAGCTTCCCAACTTGGAAAGGGAAATAGGTGTTTATGCTATGCGTCTGCCATGTGCCGTTTATTTGCTCAGCTATAACAGTTTTGTTGTGGAAACCAGAAACGTTGAAGCGCACGTGTATGTGTAGAAGACGACCAAGAGGTCCATGCAGGTCGACGTTGAAACTGTCACAATAAATATATCACACTTTATAAATTCTGATTGTGATGTTCCATTATAATAGCAACTCTTCACAACGAGAACAAATTTCATTTATTGCATTTTTTCGAGTGCATGTTGAATAAGTTATTATTGTTTAACGCCGTTATGCTTTGGTTGTTGTTTAACGCCGTTACATGAAACTCACTGCTTCTGGTTGAAACCGACTCACTCACTGCTTCTGGTTGAAACCGACTCACTCACTGCTTCTGGTTGAAACCGACTCACTCACTGCTTCTGGTTGAAACCGACTCACTCACTGCTTCTGGTTGAAACCGACTCACTCACTGCTTCTGGTTGAAACCGACTCATTCACTGCTTCTGGTTGAAACCGACTCACTCACTGCTTCTGGTTGAAACCGACTCACTCACTGCTTCTGGTTGAAACCGACTCACTCACTGCTTCTGGTTGAAACCGACTCACTCACTGCTTCTGGTTGAAACCGACTCACTCACTGCTTCTGGTTGAAACCGACTCACTCACTGCTTCTGGTTGAAACCGACTCACTCACTGCTTCTGGTTGAAACCGAAACTCACTCACTGCTTCACTGGGTTGAAACCAACTCACTTGCTCACTGCTTCTGGTTGAAACCGACTGGTTCACTGCTTCTGGTTGAAACCGACTCACTCACTGCTTCTGGTTGAAACCAGACTACCAACTCACTCACTGCTGCCGACTTTTGGTTGAAACCGACTCACTTTGCTTCTGACTTCTGGTTGGTTCCTGAAAACCGACTCATTCACTGCTTCTGGTTGAAACCGACTCACTCACTGCTTCTGGTTGAAACCAACTCGCTCACTGCTACTGGTTGAAACCGACTCACTCACTGCTACTGGTTGAAACCGACTCACTCACTGCTTCTGGTTGAAACCGATTCATTCACTGCTACTGGTGTAAACCGACTCACTCACTGCTACTGGTTGAAACCAACTCACTCACTGCCAGTGATTCTAGCTAAACCCTACTTACTGATTCTAACTAAACCCTACTTACTGATTCTAACTAAACCCTACTTACAGATTCTAGCTAAACCCTACTTACTGATTCTACTTGAACCCTACTTACAGATTCTAGCTAAACCCTACTAACTGATTCTACTCTACTTACTGATTTTACCTACTTACTGATTCTACTTGAACCCTACTTACAGATTCTAGCTGAACTCTGCTAACTGATTCTACTTACATTCTGCTTAAACCCTACTACTGATTCTACTTAAACCCTACTTACAGATTCTAGCTAAACCCTACTAACTGATTCTACTTACAACCCTACTTAGAGATTCTAGCTAAACCAGACTAACTGATTCTACTACACCCAAGTTACTGATTCTACTTAAACCCTATTTACAGATTCTAGCTAAACCCTACTAACTGATTCTACTTACACCTTACTTACTGATTCTACTTAAACCATACTAACTGATTAGGGCTGGATATTGCCCTGATTCTCATATTGCGATATATTGCAATAATTTAAGAGATATTGCAATACATATTGTGATATATTGACTGGAAGGTTTCTGTCCAAGTGCGTACATCATAATTTCCTAATAGCTCTTTGTGTGCGACATCATCTTTTTAATTGCGGTTACGCCATACTTTCAGGCCCCCTTCCCCATTGTGTCTGTCTGTATGCCAATGGTTTGCAGATAAATAAAATGATATAGAGTCTTAATGTAGAATGTTTAATTGAATCACCGCATTGCAACAAAGTTTCGCGAACGTAATGATAAAGGTAATAGTATAACATGATTGTCATGGTTAGTGTGGTTTGCTTCAACACAATGCACTTCAATGCAGTATGTAAATATTGTTACTGTTTGTCATTGATTCATTCAGATTCAACTACAATATAAACATGTGTTAACATGAACTGTTGCAAAATGAAACAAAAACATGATTTAGGTGAACTACTTGTGCTTAATATCTCATGTGACATCCAATAACTAAGATCCTTGACTAGAATGTCATTATACAGCCCTACAACATTTATAAGACTTTGGCCTTTATGATAAATTGATAACATATGTCCCTTTATGAAACAGACAAAAGTAACAAAATAATGTGAATTATGAAATGGTCACTCAAAGCCAGAGGCTCTACTAACAAGTCCAAATAAAAGATTGGTAAAATCTTTGAAGGGCATTTAGAAGTGGAATGCATTAAGAAAAGCAAGATTTATGGATGTCAACTTCTTTATTGTGAATAACACGACGTTTCGGAGCGTATGGAGTGGTGGAAGGAGCAAGCATACACTCCGAAATGTCGTGTGATTCACAACAAGCTGACATCCCCAAATCTTACTTTTCTTAAAAGATTGATCCATTTGAGGCCACTTAATTCCTCCAAAATGTCACATATGAAACCATTCAAACCCACAAAACCTACAGCATTTGGTGTAATATTTGGCACTTTTGGGGTTACTTATAACGATACACGATACTTATAACGATTACAACGATACTTATAACGTTACTTATAACGAAACCAACAGAAATAAAAGTATATTTGGCACTTTTAGAGCACATTTTGTTGCTATGGATATCAAAGGCAGAAAATTCAAAAGGAGCTAACTCTGGATGATCCAATATATTGCACAAACTGAACCAAAGCGCCATAATCGTATCGCGAGATACTGTACCGGTATATACCGGTTTACCGGTAATATTGCACAGCCCTATTACTGATTCTACTTAAACCCTACTTACTGATTCTACTTACACCCTACTTACTGATTCTAGCTAAACCCTACTTACTGATTCTAGTGAAAACTATTTACGACTCATTTAGTGCTACCCTTTAAACAAGTCTCACTGCTGTTGGCCTTACCCCTGAACCAAAGATCTGTGATCAGGACTGACTGAGTTTCGTTTTACGCCGCTTTTAGCAATATTCCAGCAATATCACGGCGGGGGACACCAGAAATGGGCTTCACTCATTGTACCCATGTGGGGATTCGAACCCGGGTCTTCGGCGTGACGAGCCAACGCTTTAACCACTAGACTACCCCACCGCCCCCTGTGATCAGGAACAGTTGGATGTTCGAACCAACGATCAGCTTTGACACGCATGGGGTATACACCGCTTTACTTTCCACACCAACGCCGGACAGGATATATACTTATGCCAATAGTGGTTGTCACCCCCTTCCCCACCCCAACCCCCACACCCCTCACCCCACACCCCTCTCCAATAAAAGAAAATTGAAGGGGGTGACAACAGTTATTGGCATGTGTATATTTAAGATACTTAAATCCATCTCAGGTTTAAGATAAGATACATTTTCGAAACTATAGAAGATCGTATTCCTGGCAGAGAACTCATTTATGTTGGGGATTCAAACATTGTTTCCCAATGACGTCATGGGGATTCGTGACCATAACTAACACGGAATTCATTATTCATTCAAATTGTAATCTTATGTTGTTTAACACGTATCTGATATCTAGTATCTAGTATACTAGAGTTTGAACTGAGGTGAACTGCGTCTGCATCAAAACGTCATGGCCACTACTGTAGCCTGCCTACACTATTTGTGTTTATCCTTCCAAATTATTGAAAATGTATGTTGATTCATACATATTTAGGAATAGACATGAACAGAATTTGTATTTTAGGCCATCGTTTTCAGAGTTATCGTAACAAATTATCTTTGATGCCTTCTTCTTGTGCACGTATGGTCGATATAAATGTGAAAATTTAACAACATGAAATGTCAAATTTTCAACGTAAGGCTGATAGTGAAATATCTATTGCATATTTCCAGTGTTATGAAAAATGCTTCAATTATTTTATTTATAGCAAAGTTGTTAATTTCCAGCAGTAGGGGTCATGTTTTTGGCTTCATCTTTGAAACACGGTTGACGTCAACAACTAAACTGGTGCTGCAAACATTTCCCATTTGACAACTTGTCGAAATATTTTGACAATCTACATGATTTTACTTCCTATATTTTCACATATATTGTTAGTGCAACCATGCAGTTTTTATTTAGTGGAAAGGATCTTTACTGGAGAGGACTTATCACTCTTGGAGGGCTTTAACTTTTGATAAAATGGCCAAACTCATTGCGCTGTGGTGCTTATTTCGTGGGCAGTTTGGGCTGTCGATGCCAGAATAAAGCTTGAGTATGAAGCTATGTTATTGTTCTATTACACCAAATCTCATTACTTAATTTAAGAAGCAACTTTCGCTGTCAGTGCAGACTGAATTATCCGACAGCTGCGATAGGATGATTTGGTGATTTTATTTTGTTTTTTAAATAAACCTCCGTCGAGTATTAAAACTGATCCTTTTTTCAATATTTAGTGCTTTTGTCATGACGACTTATGCCAAATGTGACCACAGGTGTTTTCAAACGGTTGACAGTTTGTGCGGAACTGGGGTTGGTTCGTTTAGCTTCCTGTACAAAAAAGGAACTGGCTTAAGTGGTCATATTATATATTTTTATTGCTTCAAGACCATGAACATCAGTACATAAAACACTCAACCCAAACGTACTAGAATCTGTACTTTACTGAGAAAGTGTAATCCCAAATATAACATATTTTGAATTTGACCACTTTCTAAAATTGCATTGTGTATTTCATAGCTTTCGGTCGTGGGAGCCGTACCAATTAACACTTATCAGAGAGGACTCTGAGGGTGCGGGTTCGAATCCCGGATGGAACTCAACCCAAAAAGTGCTAGAATCTGTACTTTACTGAGAAAGTGTAATCCTAAATATAACATATGTTACAGTACATAAAATAGCCATTTGATGGCTTAGCTAATGAAATATAATATAACATTACTATAGAAATCAGAAGGAAAATATTTGATTTTGTGTAACCTTAATCTCGAGGGAAAAGGCTGCCACAAAAACTGTCCTCGACCTAAGTTGTATATATCAACTCTTCACCTGACGTCATTATTGAAAAGGAGCATGTGCGCCGAAGCACAGCAGAATGTTTGATAGAGTACAAGCTGTAAGTGGTTGGTTAACGCCGCAATATTTCAACTATAAGGAGGTAGTCTGTAAATAATCGAATCTGGACCAGACAATCCGGTGATCAACATCATGAGCTTCGTTCTACGTAATTGGGATACGATGCCGTGTGTCAACCAAGTCAGCAAGTCTGACCACTCGATCCCATTAGTCGCCTTTTACGACAAGCATGGGATACTGAAGACCAATGCTAACCCGGATCTTCACGGGTAGAGCTGTTAGTAGTAAGCGGAGACCTGGTAGAATATACCGACAAATGAACGCTAACGCGTTTCTAATGGCTACCACGACAATAACCAAAGTGCCCCTTATAAACCCTTCATTGGCATATAAAAATATGATCATGCTATTGACCGAATAATCGTCATGGTGTTTGTATAAGTCTCCATCTGTTTTAATGAGATTAAGTGGCTCATTGTCCTATGTTTTTTAATCGATACTTTAGTCTTATCAGACATGCATTAGGCTTCGGTCTCTTGTTGCTGTTTTCTTTCACTAAATGTCGATCGAAGTTGATGTATTTCTCGGTTCTTTGTAGATTATCTTTCTGTTTATTCGGATACAAAAACTACGGGCATTCTGTTTACTTCAAATGCGTCTATTGTCGCTTGGCAACAAACAAACATTTTTTCGCGAATTGTAAGTGGCGATGCTAAACACTTTTCCTGGACACCTTGGGTCGTTTACTCACTGTAAGTGCTCTATATTAAGTTTAGCTATATTTTGACCCGGATTAGAATTGACTGACTGACTGAGTTTGGTTTTACGCCGCTTTTAGCAATATTCCAGCAACATCACAGCAGGGGACACCAGAAATGGGCTTCACACAATGTACCCATGTGGGGATTCGAACCCGGGTCTTCGGCGTGACGAGCCAACGCTTTAACCACTAGGCTACCCCACCGCCCCGATTAGAAGTGATCTTCAGTAACCAATGCTTGTCGTAAGAGGCGACTAATTGGATCGGGTAGTGAGGCTCGCTGACTTTGTTGACACATATAATCGTATCCCAGTTGCGTAGATCGATGCTCATGCTGTTGATCACCTGATTGTCTTGTCCAGTCTCGATTATTTACAGACCGCCGCCGTATATCTGGAATATCGCTGAGTGCGGCGTACAACTAAACTCACTCACTGTTATTTTTGTCTGATAATCGAGGCCACTGGGTATTCTCTAATGTTCTTTTTCTGATGTGACAGTGCAATTTTGTAAGCGGTCGCCTTTAACCTTTCGTTTGAAATGTGTTGACACTGGCTCCTTTCTGAATTGACCGCCTCCGTGGTGTAGTGGTTAGAGCGTCCGCCCGGAGAGCGGAAGGTCGCGGGTTCGATCCCCGACCATGTCATACTAAAAGACGTCAAAATATGGTACTTGTTCGTCCCTGCCTGGCGCTCGGCATTAATGGGTACCACAAGGACTGGTCGGCTCGGAGTCAGTATACTGTGTCTGAGTGGGGTATTCATGCTTCACTGCGGCATGGTATTTCAGTGGGCTAGCACTATAAAACCAGCTTCAGTCTGGGCTAGTACAAGCAGCTGCACATACACATACACACGCATGCACGTCGTCATATGAGCGAAATATTCTCCAGAGTGACGTTAAATCTAATTTCACCTCACCTCACCTTTCTGAATTATTTCAGAGGGAATAAATATTTCAAACAGCTAGAAAAAACATGAGTGAGTGAGTTGCGTTTAACGTCAGTTAGAACAATATTCTGGTTATATCACGGCTTGTGGGATATTATGCCCGAAATGATACAATATTTATCACAACATGGTATGGACAAAGACATATCTTAGAAACTGATAGGCTTATTATTGTGTACTTATGTGTTACCTGTAACACTGTTCATAAATAACGCAGTCAGATAAATCTTTGATGAGATAAACAAAAGGTCAGTATATCTACCCTTGTTCGGCGCTCTCAACGTACATGCGATTGTTTTCGGAACCACGAAATTGCAAACAATCCTGGTAGATAACAACGCTCTTAACTGTACTTGCGATCCTTCCTGTTGGACAATAACATGCTTACGTGCCATCACGTTTGATAATAACGTACTTACGTGCCATCATGTGTGTTAATAACGTACGTACGCGCCATCCTGATTGATAATAACGTACTTACGCTCCATTATTTTGATAATAACGTACTGACGTGAGATCTTGTTTGATAACAACGAAGTTAGGTGCCATTATGTTTGATAATAACGTACTTGTTGGACAATAACGTACCCGCGCGCCATCTTGTTGGACAATAACGTACTTACGCGCCATCTTGTCGGACAATAACGTACCTGCGCGCCATCGTTTCAAAGTATAGACAATCTTAGACATCATGCTGATAATAACGTACTTACGAGCTATCCTTAAAGTCAATGACGCACCTTCACGTCATTTTGGGTGGGTCACAGCGTACTTATAAATTAGACGACGGCGTTCTCACACGTCAGTTTTGGCGGAGCGTTGTCGTAAACATACTTTCACCTCCGGTATGTAATGGCATACTTACACCTGCTCACTTGTGGGGATGCCAGTCCAGGTGATGCTATCCCCAGTCTCCAGAGGACATGGGAGATCTAGGAAAATGTAGCTTCCACTCTGAAATGTTTAAGGAACTCATTGTCATCGCGGTATAAGCATCAGATGTTTAGTGGGCAGTGGGGTAGCCTGGTAGTTAAAATGTTCGCTCGTCACGCGAAACCCAGTGTTCGATTCCCCACATGGGCACAATGTTTGAAGCCCATTCTAGGAAAATGTAGCTTCCACTCTGAAATGTTTAAGGAACTCATTGTCATCGCGGTATAAGCATCAGATGTTTAGTGGGCAGTGGGGTAGCCTGGTAGTTAAAATGTTCGCTCGTCACGCGAAACCCAGTGTTCGATTCCCCACATGGGCACAATGTTTGAAGCCCATTTCTGGTGTCCCCCGCCGTGATATTGCTGGAACATTGCTAAAAGCGGCGTAAAACTATACTCACTTACTCAGCTGTTTAGTATCCGTGATGATGTGGGTTAGAATTGGTCTTCAGAAACCCATGCTTGTTGTAAAGGGCGACTAACGGGATCGGGTGGTCAGGCTCGCTGACTTGGTTGACAGATGTCTTCACCCAGATGTTTAGCGACAGAAATGCAAGAGTGAAATATCAACTGCTGGCAGTCGTAAAGACTGTGCTCTCGAGTTTATATGCTACCTTTTGTCCCGCTAAAAATCTGGCATCATAACCAGGGAAGTTTGCACTGTGAAAATCATGCGGTTTCGAGAAAAGCATGGCATCATAACGGTGAGCTGCAACGGTTATGGGGAACGGAACATAAAAGCCTATCCATAAAGTACACAGTTTTTGTAAACTGATGTCCAAAACGAGCAGAAACACTCGCTACTAAAAGTAAAACTGAATGGGACAGGAAGGAAGAGGTGGGCTATGTCACAAAAAAGCAACCAAATGTAACTAATAAAATAAGGGTGACAAAGTGAGAATTTCAAGCAAAATCGTGCATGTTCCGAAAACCTCGTCTGCATTCGTAGAGATGGCTGCAATATCTCCAACTTGGTCGAATGTTTGTCAAATCCAAAAGTGTAATTTCTCCACTATGTGACAAGACTTAGTACCATCAGTATGGTTGGGTTGCAAAGAAACCTAAGAGACTAACCGAAGTCATGAGCATCTTGCACTATCCACTCAGTTCTAGTCTGCTCCTGGTATTAACAGGAGATTCAGTACGATAGCGTGGACATTTGAACATTAAAAATCAGCTGTTTGACGCCCGTCTGAAGGAGCTGACACTGAAAACTTATCAAAGTCAGGCGACACCAGAGGAGGACTGAGCGCTAATGGCGTTATACCACGTTTACGGACGACTTTTTTTTGTTATTACCCAGAATCCCAGATCGTAGGAAACATTGATGACGTGGCTGTAGGCGGTATCCCTGGGCAACAAGATTTGCCTATGATCGTTATGTGAGACGGTATCACACGTGACGACGAATTGATCTGGCTATTATGAATGGACATTGATGTTTTGTTCCGTTTTTTTGTACCAGTCGTAAAATAATTATCGGTCGAACTGCTGAACAGCAACTATTACCTACGAAGAGAAAACCTACCTACCTACCAACCTACCTACCTACCTACCTTCCTACCTACCTAGAGACCATTTGTACATATGCACATACATGTACATGTGTAGTGCCTAACGTTGCCATTTCAGGCCTGCTATTCTCTTGTCCCCTGTCCGCAATGTCCACTTCGTCAAATTATATCGGTGCCTTTATTTCGCGTGGACCCATATCCGTGTCTCCACTGTCTTGATACTGCTGGAATATTATCAAAGGTACTTAAAAATACACTAACACACTCACTATTTAACATCACTTCACAAAGATGACAACCACAGTTACGATCGACCAGATAAGGAAAAACTTCTGCTGGTTAACTGACACGTTCTTTAACATAAATAGATAGTCCAAGTGCTCATAGAAACAGAAAAGAAGATAATGGTTATTTGTCAGTAACACATTTGTATATCCTTGAGTCCCCAAGGACACGTAGCTTCAGTCCGTGATAAGTTTTTTATTTCGATGAAGTGAACATCTTTAGATTTTCCGTTGTGGAGTTCAAGTCTCCATCGAGCCGACACAGCAACAGAATCTTTTATAGCGATTTTTCATTCGGGATAACAGTACAATAACAACTTTAAACAAACAGATTGATATTGTGTTGCAGTGGTTATTCCATAGTTCGGAGTATAGATTTCATCTGCCAGTTTATGTATATACAGCAGGAATAGGGGTGGTGAGGAAGAGCAGCCTTGTTGAATACCATTACTAGTGTTGACTGAGCGTGCCATATAGCCATAGAGTATCACAGAACACTGCACGTCATATAAAGACTTACTCGTACGACGTATCTTGCCTGATATACCCACTCTGAATAATAATCAAGAGGCAATCTTGCTGTCTTTCCTTAAATCGATGAATCCTTCAAATGTACTCTGTTTGGATATTTTCACAAAATTCGAAAGGATAAAAATATGGAAAGCTGCATTGTTTCCAGAATTCGTTTTGTTTTTAATGAAGCAATCTGTTGTCTTCTAACAACAATCTTCTTTGTCGTAATGCATCTTGACAGGAGAAGATACAAGTGTTATCTATCTATAGAAGGGCCTCCCGAGGTTGCTGCTGCCTATTGGTGATTGGTCTTACAGTGCCACTTCACCAAAACTGTGAAGTCACATCATTTTTAAGACAATGGTTTTCACAATAAATTCATGCATTTTACTTTTCAGAAGATGGTAAGGTATGAATGCCAGCAGCCCCAGCCCTAGCTACTTCGAGTGCTGTTAATGTTATAAGATTGTTCAATGTATTGCCAAAATAGCATACACTCATATTCCATTTACCTATTTAAGATCAAATGCGTTTCAGCTGATCCATTACGTAGCCATTCACAGTCCTCTTTCTACTTTTTAGAACATCCTCGAGATCACAGTTAACTTGTCCTTCATGGTCAAAGTTCTCATTTCCTATGCCTAGTTTCTCAATTTCTTTTCAGAAAATTCTACCTGTTTCCTTACGTTCACTTTGTACTTGCTTGTGCAGGGGTAGCCTATTGCTTAAAGCGTTGGCTCGTCACGCCGAAGACGAGGGTTCGATTCCCCCACATTGGTCCAATGTGTGAAGCCCATTTCTGGTGTCCCCCTCCGTGATATTGCTGGAATATTGCTAACAGCGGCGTTAAACCGTACTCACTCACTCTCTCTACCAATAAGACTTTTATAGCAAGTGGGATGTGAGATTACTGGAACTCAGTTATTCAACTCAGTACCAACCTCAGGGATTCCAGTTATTGTTCCATCTTGTTCCAGTTATATTTTTGTCATCATCACGCAGAAAGTGTAGCTGGAATATTCTTGCGTCGAACCATTCTTAACTGGCTTGCTATTCAACTCACTTAAAGACAGAACTTCCCTTTCAGCAATAATATCTAGAGATATTTGAAGGCACAACGACTTTATTTTATGTTCGTTGATTGCTGCATAAACCGACAGTACGCTATACGGATTCAAAACGGGGAATTGATAAACAGAAACCGACACATTCCTTAACAGATTTCCCTGGGGAGTGATATAGCCTATGCCCACTGCATCCATTCAACATGCCCCGGTTGTTGTTTATTAAAAAACTCAGTAACGTGTGTGTCATATGACTTTACTGAATAGTGAGTTACATCCTCTGCCGGATGAAAACTGCACCATTAATGAAGTCTGAGTTATCCGTGATTGAAGTCTCAGTTGCCCGCACTTATACATTCAAACACTGAACTGACCTTACAGTGTCTGTATATGTAACCAGAAGATACCACCACTGCGAGATCTAGAACTCCAAGATAGAGAATGCTTAACACCTGTTTCAAATACTAAAATGACACATCCTTTAAAAATAGGAACAACAAATATAAAACACGTAAAATCAGGCAGAGGTGACCAGCGAGAATAGTTAGTACATTGACATCAGACAGAGGTGACCAGCGAGAATAGTTAGTACATTGACATCAGACGTAGGTGACCAGCGAGACTAGTTAGTACATTGACATCAGACAGAGGTGACCAGCGAGAATAGTTAGTACATTGACATCAGACAGAGGTGACCAGCGAGAATAGTTAGTACATTGACATCAGACAGAGGTGACCAGCGAGAATAGTTAGTACATTGACATCAGACAGAGGTGACCAGCGAGAATAGTTAGTACATTGACATCAGACAGAGGTGACCAGCGAGAATAGTTAGTACATTGACATCAGACAGAGGTGACCAGCGAGAATAGTTAGTACATTGACATCAGACAGAGGTGACCAGCGAGAATAGTTAGTACATTGACATCAGACAGAGGTGACCAGCGAGAATAGTTAGTACATTGACATCAGACAGAGGTGACCAGCGAGAATTTGTACATTAACATCAGACGGAGTACATTGACATCAGACAGAGGTCACCAGCGAGAATAGTTAGTACATTGACATCAGACAGAGGTGACCAGCGAGAATAGTTAGTACATTGACATCAGACAGAGGTGACCAGCGAGAATAGTTAGTACATTGACATCAGACAGAGGTGACCAGCGAGAATAGTTAGTACATTGACATCAGACAGAGGTGACCAGCGAGAATAGTTAGTACATTGACATCAGACAGAGGTGACCAGCGAGAATAGTTTGTACATTGACATCAGACAGAGGTGACCAGCGAGAATAGTTAGTACATTGACATCAGACAGAGGTGACCAGCGAGAATAGTTTGTACATTGACATCAGACAGAGGTGACCAGCGAGAATAGTTAGTACATTGACATCAGACAGAGGTGACCAGCGAGAATAGTTAGTACATTGACATCAGACAGAGGTGACCAGCGAGAATAGTTAGTACATTGACATCAGACAGAGGTGACCAGCGAGAATAGTTAGTACATTGACATCAGACAGAGGTGACCAGCGAGAATAGTTAGTACATTGACATCAGACAGAGGTGACCAGCGAGAATAGTTAGTACATTGACATCAGACAGAGGTGACCAGCGAGAATAGTTAGTACATTGACATCAGACAGAGGTGACCAGCGAGAATAGTTAGTACATTGACATCAGACAGAGGTGACCAGCGAGAATAGTTAGTACATTGACATCAGACAGAGGTGACCAGCGAGAATAGTTAGTACATTGACATCAGACAGAGGTGACCAGCGAGAATAGTTAGTACATTGACATCAGACAGAGGTGACCAGCGAGAATAGTTAGTACATTGACATCAGACAGAGGTGACCAGCGAGAATAGTTAGTACATTGACATCAGACAGAGGTGACCAGCGAGAATAGTTAGTACATTGACATCAGACAGAGGTGACCAGCGAGAATAGTTTGTACATTGACATCAGACAGAGGTGACCAGCGAGAATAGTTAGTACATTGACATCAGACAGACCAGCGAGACCATCAGACGAGACCAGCGAGTTAGTTAGTATTGACATCAGACAGAGGTGACCAGCGAGAATAGTTTGTACATTGACATCAGACAGAGGTGACCAGCGAGAATAGTTAGTACATTGACATCAGACAGAGGTGACCAGCGAGAATAGTTAGTACATTGACATCAGACAGAGGTGACCAGCGAGAATAGTTAGTACATTGACATCAGACAGAGGTGACCAGCGAGAATAGTTTGTACATTGACATCAGACAGAGGTGACCAGCGAGAATAGTTAGTACATTGACATCAGACAGAGGTGACCAGCGAGAATAGTTAGTACATTGACATCAGACAGAGGTGACCAGCGAGAATAGTTAGTACATTGACATCAGACAGAGGTGACCAGCGAGAATAGTTAGTACATTGACATCAGACAGAGGTGACCAGCGAGAATAGTTAGTACATTGACATCAGACAGAGGTGACCAGCGAGAATAGTTAGTACATTGACATCAGACCAGCGAGAGGTGACCAGCGAGAATAGTTAGTACATTGACATCAGACAGAGGTGACCAGCGAGAATAGTTAGTACATTGACATCAGACAGAGGTGACCAGCGAGAATAGTTTGTACATTGACATCAGACAGAGGTGACCAGCGAGAATAGTTAGTACATTGACATCAGACAGAGGTGACCAGCGAGAATAGTTTAGTACATTGACATCAGACAGAGGTGACCAGCGAGAATAGTTTGTACATTGACATCAGACAGAGGTGACCAGCGAGAATAGTTAGTACATTGACATCAGACAGAGGTGACCAGCGAGAATAGTTAGTACATTGACATCAGACAGAGGTGACCAGCGAGAATAGTTAGTACATTGACATCAGACAGAGGTGACCAGCGAGAATAGTTAGTACATTGACATCAGACAGAGGTGACCAGCGAGAATAGTTTGTACATTGACATCAGACAGAGGTGACCAGCGAGAATAGTTAGTACATTGACATCAGACAGAGGTGACCAGCGAGAATAGTTAGTACATTGACATCAGACAGAGGTGACCAGCGAGAATAGTTAGTACATTGACATCAGACAGAGGTGACCAGCGAGAATAGTTAGTACATTGACATCAGACAGAGGTGACCAGCGAGAATAGTTAGTACATTGACATCAGACAGAGGTGACCAGCGAGAATAGTTAGTACATTGACATCAGACAGAGGTGACCAGCGAGAATAGTTAGTACATTGACATCAGACAGAGGTGACCAGCGAGAATAGTTAGTACATTGACATCAGACAGAGGTGACCAGCGAGAATAGTTAGTACATTGACATCAGACAGAGGTGACCAGCGAGAATAGTTAGTACATTGACATCAGACAGAGGTGACCAGCGAGAATAGTTAGTACATTGACATCAGACAGAGGTGACCAGCGAGAATAGTTAGTACATTGACATCAGACAGAGGTGACCAGCGAGAATAGTTAGTACATTGACATCAGACAGAGGTGACCAGCGAGAATAGTTAGTACATTGACATCAGACAGAGGTGACCAGCGAGAATAGTTAGATTGACATCAGACGTAGGTGACCAGCGAGAATAGTTAGTACATTGACATCAGACAGAGGTGACCAGCGAGAATAGTTAGTACATTGACATCAGACAGAGGTGACCAGCGAGAATAGTTAGTACATTGACATCAGACAGAGGTGACCAGCGAGAATAGTTAGTACATTGACATCAGACAGAGGTGACCAGCGAGAATAGTTAGTACATTGACATCAGACAGAGGTGACCAGCGAGAATAGTTAGTACATTGACATCAGACAGAGGTGACCAGCGAGAATAGTTAGTACATTGACATCAGACAGAGGTGACCAGCGAGAATAGTTTGTACATTGACATCAGACAGAGGTGACCAGCGAGAATAGTTAGTACATTGACATCAGACAGAGGTGACCAGCGAGAATAGTTAGTACATTGACATCAGACAGAGGTGACCAGCGAGAGTAGTTAGTACATTGACATCAGACAGAGGTGACCAGCGAGAATAGTTAGTACATTGACATCAGACAGAGGTGACCAGCGAGAGTAGTTAGTACATTGACATCAGACAGAGGTGACCAGCGAGAATAGTTAGTACATTGACATCAGACAGAGGTGACCAGCGAGAATAGTTAGTACATTGACATCAGACAGAGGTGACCAGCGAGAATAGTTAGTACATTGACATCAGACAGAGGTGACCAGCGAGAATAGTTAGTACATTGACATCAGACAGAGGTGACCAGCGAGAATAGTTTAGTACATTGACATCAGACAGAGGTGACCAGCGAGAATAGTTAGTACATTGACATCAGACAGAGGTGACCAGCGAGAATAGTTAGTACATTGACATCAGACAGAGGTGACCAGCGAGAATAGTTAGTACATTGACATCAGACAGAGGTGACCAGCGAGAATAGTTAGTACATTGACATCAGACAGAGGTGACCAGCGAGAATAGTTAGTACATTGACATCAGACAGAGGTGACCAGCGAGAATAGTTAGTACATTGACATCAGACAGAGGTGACCAGCGAGAATAGTTAGTACATTGACATCAGACAGAGGTGACCAGCGAGAATAGTTAGTACATTGACATCAGACAGAGGTGACCAGCGAGAATAGTTAGTACATTGACATCAGACAGAGGTGACCAGCGAGAATAGTTAGTACATTGACATCAGACAGAGGTGACCAGCGAGAGTAGTTAGTACATTGACATCAGACAGAGGTGACCAGCGAGAATAGTTAGTACATTGACATCAGACAGAGGTGACCAGCGAGAATAGTTAGTACATTGACATCAGACAGAGGTGACCAGCGAGAATAGTTAGTACATTGACATCAGACAGAGGTGACCAGCGAGAATAGTTAGTACATTGACATCAGACAGAGGTGACCAGCGAGAATAGTTAGTACATTGACATCAGACAGAGGTGACCAGCGAGAATAGTTAGTACATTGACATCAGACAGAGGTGACCAGCGAGAATAGTTAGTACATTGACATCAGACAGAGGTGACCAGCGAGAATAGTTAGTACATTGACATCAGACAGAGGTGACCAGCGAGAATAGTTAGTACATTGACATCAGACAGAGGTGACCAGCGAGAATAGTTAGTACATTGACATCAGACAGAGGTGACCAGCGAGAATAGTTAGTACATTGACATCAGACAGAGGTGACCAGCGAGAATAGTTAGTACATTGACATCAGACAGAGGTGACCAGCGAGAATAGTTAGTACATTGACATCAGACAGAGGTGACCAGCGAGAATAGTTAGTACATTGACATCAGACAGAGGTGACCAGCGAGAATAGTTAGTTAGTACATTGACATCAGACAGAGGTGACCAGCGAGAATAGTTAGTACATTGACATCAGACAGAGGTGACCAGCGAGAATAGTTAGTACATTGACATCAGACAGAGGTGACCAGCGAGAATAGTTAGTACATTGACATCAGACAGAGGTGACCAGCGAGAGAGACGAATAGTTAGTTACCACATTGACATCAGACAGAGGTGACCAGCGAGAATAGTTAGTACATTGACATCAGACAGAGGTGACCAGCGAGAATAGTTAGTACATTGACATCAGACAGAGGTGACCAGCGAGAATAGTTAGTACATTGACATCAGACAGAGGTGACCAGCGAGAATAGTTAGTACATTGACATCAGACAGAGGTGACCAGCGAGAATAGTTAGTACATTGACATCAGACAGAGGTGACCAGCGAGAATAGTTATTGACATCAGACAGAGGTGACCAGCGAGAGTAGTTAGTACATTGACATCAGACAGAGGTGACCAGCGAGAATAGTTTGTACATTGACATCAGACAGGGGTGACCAGCGAGAATAGTTAGTACATTGACATCAGACAGAGGTGACCAGCGAGAATAGTTAGTACATTGACATCAGACAGAGGTGACCAGCGAGAATAGTTAGTACATTGACATCAGACAGAGGTGACCAGCGAGAATAGTTAGTACATTGACATCAGACAGAGGTGACCAGCGAGAATAGTTAGTACATTGACATCAGACAGAGGTGACCAGCGAGAATAGTTAGTACATTGACATCAGACAGAGGTGACCAGCGAGAATAGTTAGTACATTGACATCAGACAGAGGTGACCAGCGAGAATAGTTAGTACATTGACATCAGACAGAGGTGACCAGCGAGAATAGTTAGTACATTGACATCAGACAGAGGTGACCAGCGAGAATAGTTAGTACATTGACATCAGACAGAGGTGACCTTAGTGAATAGTTAGATAGACATTAGACAGAGGTGACCAGCGAGAATAGTTAGTACATTGACATCAGACAGAGGTGACCAGCGAGAATAGTTAGTACATTGACATCAGACAGAGGTGACCAGCGAGAATAGTTTGTACCTTGACATCAGACAGAGGTGACCAGCGAGAATAGTTAGTACATTGACATGTATTTTACAGACTGACACGAGGAAAGGGTGCCCTGCTTGTATTTTACAGAGACTGACAAGAGGAAAAGATGCCCTGCTTGTATTGTATACAGATTGACATCATTCAAATGACGTACCAAATCTGTCAACCTGTACCTGCCACACTCCCCGGGGACGCCCTGCCACTGCCCCGAGGCGTCGCACACGGTGGTTTTACTCACACCACGGCAAAATGTATAGTCAGTGTCACAGGTGTAGTAAGCCACATCTCCCTCTTCATGACTGGCGGCGGAGACAGCACCGTTGGCGATGGGTGGAGGAGGGCTGCACTGCATCACGCGGTTTACTGAAATTCATGAGGGTGATTGTCAGAACTCACAATAGCAGACAGAAAGTTTCTCTTTCAATTCTCCAACATAAAGGAGTCTGTTAACTTGAAATGGCAGTGTAGCATAGACATGTTGGAAGGTTATGTGACATTATAAACAGATGACTAAATTGTGTGGAGCTTAAAATGGCTTTTCTTGTAAGACAAAATTAATGATAAAGACCTCGGTTCTATGTACTGAGTTTGGTTGGTTGGTTGTTGTCGGGCGGAAAAAAAACAGTTTGTTCGACAGTAGGGCAGCATCTCATCGCTCGACGCCCCTCCCCAACCCCCACCCCACTCCCCTCGAAAACCCTTTTTCAAAAATTCCAACGCCGCCGACTTGAACCTTAAACGTACCGCCTCGTCATATATAATGTTCATCTTTCCAAACTGTTTAAATCAGTAGCTGCCACAAGTCCAAAAAACGAGAGAAATTGTAATAAGAATTACAATAAATGAGAATTAAGAACATTATTCGTGTAATTTTGTCTTTATTAATTTGTTTTTAGTTTGTTTCCCGAACGACCTACCCATGTTCAGAAATTTTGATGGCTACTTGAAACACATAAAAAAATGATGCCCTTACCAAGACCAGGGCTCTTTTCCTCACACAAATAGTAAAGGTAATGTTTAGTTTCACCGTCGAGATATCGTTGGAAAATACTGAAAGCGCCATAAAACTACATTCACTCTGTTAGTTTTACGCCGCACTCAGCAATATTCAAACTACGAGGGATCGGTCAAACAGTAAAGAAAAGCTTCCATTTTATATTTAAGGAATCATTAGCAAAGCCACATCCAAAATTTCTCGTATGTGGGTGTAATGGTTAACGAGATACTGCAGAAAACGAAAAACTATCTGTCATTTGGTACCTCTTGGATAATGGTATGCCCTCAGATAATATCATATAAAATATGTTCAGTCTAGTATCGGATGACTTCCCGTCATAATCAACAGTCAAAAATTTGGATTGCTTGATTGAGATTTAGACTGGGCCCCATTTTAGTCTTTCAAAAACAGTGTGTCCAGATATTCAAGCTGGCACTGTTTACAAAATATTGAGAGCCGACACTTGTGTGACCATTCACTATTTAGTTTGAATCCTTGGCATCATGTGAGGTGAGGTGAGGTGAAATTGGGTTTAACGCCGTGCTTGAGAATATTTCACTCATATGACGACGTGTATGCATGTGTATGTGTATGTGCGGCTGCTTGTACTAGCCCAGACTAAAGCGGGTTTTATAGTGCTAGCCCACTGAGATACCATGCCGCAGTGAAGCATGAATACCCCACTCAGACACATTATACTGACTCCGAGCCGACCAGTCCTTGTTGTACCCATTAATGCCGAGCGCCAGGCAGGGACCAACAAGTACCATATTTAAACGTCTTTTGGTATGACACGGTCGGGGATCGAACCCGCGATCTTCCGCTCTCCGGGCGGACGCTCTAACCACTACACCAATGAGGCGGTCTATGAATAAGTGAAACCATTAGAATAAGTTATGTCCTTATATAATAACTTCAAAGATGGAACAGGTAAGTGAGTCGATTGTGAGCAAATTCTGGAATATTTTACCGCAGTGTGGGTATTGGGGGGACGTGAGTGAGTGAGTGAGTGGAACACCAGACAAAGGCTGCTTACATTTCAGTTTGAGTTGGCGTCTTAACCACTTACCTAACGCCCCGTTGTTAATTACGGAACAAAGAATAAACTTGTTTCATTTACCTGACCTATCCAAAACACGGTCATGATTTAATGTAGCTGAATGTTTCCGAGCCTACATGTACACATTACATGAATTATTAGTTTACAATTCCGGATATATCGGGAAAATAATATTTTCATCTTGTATGGTGATCAGTTAAAAAGCCCCATCAAAATCGTTTAAACGTCAATGATATTTGCTTTCAAGTAAAAATCAATCTAACAACATTTACATGTAATGCTACAAACAGTTTATCTCTATATCCGGAAGTACTCTAATTGACATGACATTGTCAGTTACTTAACACAGAGTGAAACAAACAAAGCATGGTGCGGTCATTCAGTTTGTCGAGATCAATATATGTGATTGTTGGAAAGAAATCAAAATAATATATTCTTTAATGCTGATAAACATTGGTGTCTTATCGATGATCTGCGAGTGAATCCAAACACGGATCTATAATGCGACACTAATTAAGGCGTCCGTATGTGATTGTTAGAGCGTACTTGATAGTATCATAATATTGTCAGCAGAGACGAGAGAAACCGCGAGATGTGGTTGTTTGCTGGGACACGTGTTCAAAAATATTGTCACAATGAATCGTCAATATCAGTACACTGTTAAGATCTGATGAGAAGAGAGCGCGCAATTTTGGTCGTTCTGCATTAATTAACCAACCGTTTAACTCATAGACATGGTTGGAAAGTAATGTTAGACATATCTTTAAACAATATCGAAGATCTGTACCATTTCACCCTTATATGGCAATCCTAAAAGAACATACGAAAGAAATATATAGTATTACCAATTAAATATTTAATTCGACCTTCAGTACAACAATTTGTTCGCCTTATGGCAACCACACAATATCAAGATTTAAAATCTGCTATATCATACTTCAAATATGCCTTCAATAGCAGAAATGAAATGTGCACCTTTGGTTTAAATGATCCTATACTGCGCCATATGCACTTCATGTATATGGGCCTACGACCTTTCATGCAATAAACATTTGAGAAGAAAATATCGATTTCTGACACACAAGTCTTTTTGAATTCATTTGACCTGTATGGAACATCATTGTTAAGACCGATTGTAACAAAAAGAAAGTAAGGATAACACACGTTAATAATGTATCTATTAGGGGTGACTATTGAGGGGGAAACAACTATTACGATAGCAATAGTCTATTGCAACATACTATTGAGATAGCGACAGTCTATTGCGACCAACTCATGCAATAGTATTGCAATAGTTTTCTCTCCTTGAATTGTCTCATTTGAAGTCATTTCCCAGACGAATGTATAGTTTATACGAAATAAAAATAAGTTGAAGTAGTTTCAGTCTCTTTTAATAGTTGACAAGAAATTTGAAATACAGATCAAGTAAACAGTTAAAACAAAGTAAACAGTGAATTCAATGAAGCTGCAAGTCTGCACCCAAAAATCCTGTATTTTGTGCTGCGCATTTATCAACGGAAGTCAATTGCTAAACTATCGATAGTCACACACACTATTGATGCATTGATAGTTTCTCGTTTCTACCATTGCTTAATTGCTATCGGAGACTTAACCATTGCGATCCATCGATAGTTCGATGCATCGTTACAGCACTAGTATCCATGAATCATTTTTGTTATCCCCACTTACAATGATAATAATACTGCACAATGAAAGAAAACAAGTTAGACAATTTTCAAATTCCCACTTACATGAATAGTTACAACATACTAACAGAAGCGATGTACAAATCCACCAAGAAATTGAAAACAGATATAGATTTTTCCGACTTAACTGTAGTTACGTGAAAGTGGAGTCTTGAATTTCTTTGTAACAGTTGTCCAAGGCAGAAAAAATAAATACATTGCCAGTAGCATGTCAAGGGCTGTTGAATTAGAGTTACCTCCCCTGGGTTGTGGTTAAACATTGAAGCCTTCATCGTTCAAGTCGTTTCAGTATTGGGCAGTACTCAAAAGAGTGCCTTTATAAAAGCAATGAAAAGGGCGATTCAATTATTCCAGCCTGCTTTGAGACTTATCTACTTGATAAATATCTAGTTGTGAACGCTGACTCTCTGGAAACTTCCAGCGTTATTATGGATTCAAAAATGGAGAAAAATCCCGGGGAGTCGCAATCTCCCTTTGCACGTCACCTCAGTGTTCACCAGAGTACCATCAGTCGTTTATGCGACCGATATCAACAAACCAATTCCACGCTAGATCGGCCTCGAAGTGGTAGACTTTGGACTACCACTGCAGCGCAGGATAGGTACACCCGGTTACTTCATTTGCGAGCATTTGTGAGGTAACCTCGGCCGACTTCACTTATTGAACTTCTTATGAGCTATACATGTTACCAGGCATTTGATCTTTTATGCTGTGAAGTTTGGCTGCAACTGATCCAGACTTGCGTTATCTCACTTTAAAGTTAGCAGTAAAAAGTAGACCTATGCGTTTCCTTTTTGGGAGAGTATAAATAAATATAGTTGTTGGAGACAGTGAGCAGAAAACACCAGGACGTGGAAAAAAACACCAGGCGTTGTGTTGATGATATTCCATCAGCGAGAAAATGGAAAATTAAGCGTTAATTACTTTGAGACAAATTTGTTAACTTTTGATTAGCATAACATTAATCCTTGTTCCGCAAAAGCATGTAAAGTTGGGTTGGTTGGTTGTTTAACGCCACACTCAGCAATATTCCAGCTATATGTCGGTGCTCTGTAAATAATCGAGTCTGGACCTGACAATCCAGTGATCATCAGCATGAGCATCGATCTACGCAATTACAATAAGGTGTATAACTTGTGTAAGGTAGGGGCGATAGGGTTAGCCTCGTGGTTAAGCCTGGCTGGATTCCCGCATGGGTTTGGCAAGAAATGTAACAAACGGCATACAGAGATGACATCGAAGGTATCACGGATACCAACCCGTGGGGATTCCGTGTCAGAATAGGTCACCAGGACAGTAAGGCGACCAAATGGAACGAGTGTCCAGCTTGGTGTGTCGCCATGCCTCGTCGGTGAACGTTGATGGTCAAAATATCACTCATTTGTCTGGCAAGACTATTATATAAGATTATTCACAGGTCGCCGTCTGAATATTGAGGCGTCTAATAATAATCGGCGGTTGTTATTGTCTATGGTATTAATGATACATGTATAGTTAAAGGCCATGATAACCCACACATTAGTTACATATACGGGGTGGTAGGGGTAGCCTAGTGGTTAAAGCGTTCGCTCGTCACGCTGAAGACCCGGGTTCGATTCCC